AAGCCAGTCGTTTTGGACGCAAAATGAAAGGACAACAAACGGTCAATTTTTTTCCTAATTTACTTAGTTTCTAATTTTTAACGACCTCCCTCCTCTATAGGAAATTCCGAGAAAGATTGTTTATTTATCTCTTTATCTGCATCTATGCGAGGAAAAACAGACGTTTTGTTCTTTTTTTTTTCTTTTGTTTAACAATTTTCGTCCTTCAAAAATGTTGTGCTTGTTACTTTAAACATGCGTGAAGTCAATCGGAATCAGGTGAGTTTCTCAGAGATTTTTGGTTGTCATTAGCGACGCACGTTGAGTATTTCCTATGGTCTGATCGTGAATCGATTTTCAGTAAAGAACGCGACTTTCACAGTAACAATCAGGAAGTATCGCCCCATTCAGCCGGAGTAGCACTAATATTTGTAAGCATAATACAAATGCATAAGAAATGAGGAAATAATTCCATACCTGTTTCTCATCCTGAGTCGTAGTATCTTCTAGCTCCTCTTCTTCTCCATCCATTTCATTCTCATCTTGACAATCCATTCCATCTCCGTCCATGACGAAGGCAAGACAAATTCCAAGTCTAATTGGGAGATAGATTACTTCGTAAATGGAATATCATTTGAAGATATACAGCGGCTGCGCGGCGGTTAACGAATGGAGCATGTCAGAACAGAGTTTTTTCCTCAAACTGTGAGGAGAAAGTCAATAATTATTTTTCATTCATCGAGATTTGGGATCCAATAATACATCAGACAGTTGCAACTGTTCTAGCCAAGTGCTGCTTTCACATAGAGACATTTTTGAACGTAGGAGCTGAATGAGTTTCCAATCCTCTCAATTTTTAGTTAATTTCTTACTTGCACCATTTGCCACTATTTTCAGAATAAAATTGCACCCATCCTCCATTTCAGTTGCACCAGGTTTTTCATTGCTTTGCAACGGTCGCCAAAAAAATATGAATTAGGTGAATTTGTGGAAAAATACAAGTATAGGAAACATGGGGTTGGTCATATGACACTGTAAACTGTAGTAAAGAGAGATGAGATTCAAAAGCCTTTCTGTAGCTGCTTCAATTTGAGATTGATTTTCATGTGGTTACTGCAGGTGGAACTTCGCTATTGACTTGAAGTCGCGGGAGCATCGCCAAGACACTACTTCCGGGAAGGTCAACAATGAAAGAGACGATAAAACAATGCAATAGAAAAGACTGTGTTCTTCCTGGGAC